TTTTTCTAAGTATCTTTCTACCTCTTCCATCTCAGAGCGAGGTCTCTCCATATCCACCATGTTTACCTTAACATCCTCCCCCTTAGCTTCATCATCTCCCCATCCTGTGGGTTTTATATCTTCAATGTGGACTTTTGAACTTTCTGGGGCAGAATATTTGACCAAATAGTCAAATTTTCCACTGGGTTCCCCTAAAGTGTCCCATATTTCTTTCTGGGGGGAAGTTGGCTTCATGATTTGGACTTTCTCCAATTCCAGCCTCAGGCCTTCAGTGACCTGTGTCAATTCTTGGTTTTGATTTTCCTGGCCTTCAGTAGCCTGGATCTCTTTTGCAACAGCCAAAGGTGCTGCTTCAATCGAAGTCTCTGGTTGCTTCTGGACGTCTTCAGTGACCTCCTTATCGACTTCGACTATCATCCAACTTTCGTTTTCAGTACCTTTCTCTCCTATTGGGGCATCACTTTGGTCAGCTTCCACCATGTTAATCTCTCCAATGCATGCAGGCTCGGAGTAGTTGGTGTCTGCAACGTCCAAGGGATCTTCGTCCACTTTCATTTTTGCTTTATCAGCAAACGTCAGTCTGCCATCTTTAATTGCATTCTGAATTAGGTCCCTGAAAAGAAAACACTGTGAGGTTTTGTGGCCTAGGAAACTATGATATTTGCAAAATCCTCTCTTCTTTCTTTGATCTAAAGGAGGTATTTTGACATTTGATGGCACAATGAGTTGGCCATCTTTGACAAGTAAATCAAAAATCTCGTCACATTTAGTGACATCGAAGGTATAAACCTTCTTTGGGAATTTGTCACTTTTCTCATTTTCCACCATCTCTTTCCCTTTTGTGGGAACTAATAATTTGCAGGAGTAAGGTGGTGCCTGTTTTAATTCAGCGAGGTCGATTTCGACCTCTTCGAATTCGAATTCAGGGTAATCTTCTGCTTCCTCAGTTCCAACATAGGAGATCCTTTCCTTCTTGTTATTTTTAAAGACTCTGGCCTTTTCGGACTTTAGCCTTTCGACCTGTCGAACCCTGTCGGCTAACTGAGCCATGTCCCTCAAATATTGAGTGACTAGTTTCTTTCGAATAGAGTAATCCAAGCCACCAACGACCATTTCGACTAACTCATGTTCAGGCACCACTGTGTAACATCTGGATTTCAAAAGCCTAAATCTATTCAGATAATCATCTATGGGTTCAGTGAACTTTCTCTTGACACTGGCTAATTCCTTCAAGCTTATTTTTGATTGTCCCATGTAAAACTGTTCATGGAATAATCTCTCCAAAAGAGCCCAAGTATCAATGGACCCAAGAGGCAAAGTGGTGAACCATGTGAAGGCGTTTTTAGTCAGGGAACTTGGGAAATATTTGATCCTGAGGTCTTCATTATTGGCTATATCTCCCGCTTCGGTTAGATATCTGGCTATATGTTCGACTGTTGACTCATTGGTATCCCCAGCGAACTTTGTAAACTTAGGGACTTTATATCCCCTTGGTAAATCAGTATGCATTATGTAATCTAATATAGGAGAAGCATAATTTGGCCTTCTAATTCCTGTGTTGAGGCCATTCTGGGCCATGACTCTCTCTATCATGTTGGTTAAATTGTTTTCTGCCAAGATGTTCTCGTTTCGCATTCTATGAACGACTGCATCAGCATCTTGATTTCGACCCACCATGACAACCCCCCTAGGTTGTTCTTCTCGAAACTCTGGGACTTCCATCCTTTCGACCCTTGCCCCTGGTTCCATAATTTCTCTTTGTGGGCCTGGGATCATTGGGGCTTCTAGCCTTTGTGCCCTTGCCCCTAAGTTAACTTCTTCTCTAGGTGGTCTATAAGTTGGGTCGTTAGCAACTTGTTCCATAACAGGCATGTTTGCTCGAACTCCCGCTTGATTCTGCCTACGCCTCTCCGGGGGAGCAAAGAAATCTGCTATTCGACTCATGTTATCTGCGTTTTCTCTGTTTGTCACAGTCACATTTTGTACTATTGGGGCAAATATTTCCTGCATAGTTTGTGCTAACACCCCTATCATATTATGGTTACTGTCATCCATCAATTGCCTAAAAGCCAACGGGTTTTCTGTGGTTAAAATAGGCATTGTGCTATAACCCACTGACCCTTGGTTATTTGTCATAAACTGATTCGCCCCAGACCCAGACCCTAATTGTGGTGATGAATTCGATGTGGAATTGTGTAAACCTGCCATAAAAGATGTTGGCATTCCATAAGAGGAATTTCTGGTTCTATTACCATCGAAGCCGGGTGGTCTAGTTAGTGGGGTGGCGAAATGGGTTTGTGTCCCTGATGGTGGAACGAATCCCCCAGGATAACCCATGGTTCCAGTATTTCCTAAGATCGAACTATTAGTTGATATGCCACTTACTCCATTAGTGGCTATATTACTGCTAGAAGATGCAACAGACTGTGCATTCGAAGGGATCACATTAGACGTTCCCATCGAAGCGGACACATTAGTGCCTGTTGTATGTGGGGCATTTTGCTCCCCTTGTTGATTGTCAGGATTAGACATCTTGTTCAAACGTTTTCTTCTGGATAAGGGTTGGTTGCTGTTGGTTATTTTACCACTTCTTAGGTTCATAAAACAACAAACTTATCACTTAGAGGGTCTCTTTTATAATGGTTACGTCTCAACAATCTTTATTTTTGTTCTAAATTCCGTAATGTCCAACGATTTGTCCCACCGGGTGTGCCAATTTGTTTACAGTGATTTCTGGTAAACAACCGCTAGTCCTCCAAACTATCGAATAAACTTACTGACTGTTATTCAATTTCTCTGGTAACTCGCAGGATCGACTAGATTGATCCTAGGACGTGTTGGTCATTAGGGTAACTCTCATGATCGAACTGGTATTCATGGTTGGTATTTAGAATGTTGTGTAGGTGTTTAACTTATTTCAATTTCTCTCTTAAAAATCTAAAGGTATGATCAAATAAATGTGCGCGAAACTAAATTGCATGAATAAAGGTCAATTGTAAAGACATGTAAAAACTGCATAAAAGACAAGTAAATGACTTCGAAACGTAAAAAAAACAGTTAATGTAAAAGATTCGAAATATGAAGAAAGCGTTTAATGCAAGAAAACTGTAAAATGGCTTTAAGTGAAAAAGGTGTTTGAAGGATAAAAACTTGAAGATAAAGGCATGAAATGTATAACAGTTTCTGAAATGTAAAGTATTTGAAATGGAAAGAAAGCATTTAAATGTAAGGCATCAGTGAAAAGATTTCGAATAAAAAGACTTTAGATGCAAAAACTTGTAAATGGTATTGATATAAAGATAAAGGAAAGTACTGGAAATGATAAAGAGTTTTCATTAAATCATAAACATGTGGTGTTATCATACGTACATTGCTCTTGCATTCGTTTCCCTAGCCATGTGGTAATTTGAATGTTTACTGAGTTTTTTTTGTACAATAGATATGACACACGAAATCCTAATGCTAAGAATTCTATTTATACTACTTCGACCATAACGGTCTTGCTATAAGATTCTGCCACGTTCAGAACATGCAGAGTAATGCCTCTCTCTTGCTTCCACGCGTCTTCGAATGCTCCAGCGCATATATTTCAAATTTCGAACATCCCGCTTGCATTTGAATTTCAAATGTTTTGGCACTTCTTCGCTTCGAACGCATTCCTTAGATACAACCTTGTTATCATTTCGAGACTCCTTTGGATATATTCTCATAACTGTCACTCGAAGCTCCAAGCTTTGATATGCCCATTCGAAACACTGCTTCTTCTATTTCGAAACATGACGTTTTGTTTCATTTCAATCGAAACGTCCAATTTACTTTACTTCTAATAATATCATCAAAATCTTCAGCCAACAGATATAAGATTCCTTGCATCACATGAAATATACAGACAAAACTAACAGCACGAGAAAAATTATATGCGTCTGTACGATTTTTCAGAAGTTAATTTGAATTAAAGTTTAAAATCGTAACGCAATTAAAATAATATTTAAATAACCAAAATTTATTTACAAGTGAAGTGAATAAAATATACAGTCAAAAAAATTATATACAAGTATATATTTACAGTACCAAATATTAAATCAAAATAGTGAAATACAATAAAGAGGTAAAGGGAGAAGTGTATGAATTATGGAGGAGCTGTGTGAGAATGGATACTTGAAACGATTTTTGAAAACCTTCACAGTAAACAAACTCGTTAGTAGCATAAGCCGTATAAAAAATAAAATGAAGGAAATTGCAACAATTAAAATCTATGTTAGTAATCACAAAGTATGAAATTGAAATGAAATTGTATGATGCACATGAACAAATGACTATTTACACAAGTAAAAATCAAGAATTTATTATGTAATTCAATTCAATTCCGATACATGAAAAATCAAACTTAAATATACAAATCAAAAGTTAGACAGCATAAAAATCAATTTCCAAGCTTATGTACAAACACCAATATTAAACCAACAAACTTTGTAAATTGATTTCAACTTGAAACATAATCAAAACCACTCTTTAAAATCAATCAAACAACATGACAATATCAACACCGACATTTTAATAAACTCATGTCATTTTCATATTAAGTTCAAAAGTGATTAAAAAAAAGTTTTGAATTAAAGTTTCGGCAAGGTATAAATCCGAACAACAACTAACACAAATAGTTAATACTAAATAAAAACACCTCAAAAGGATTCAAAACTAACAAGAAAACAAAGTTATGCACCAACCATGTTAACCTCATTATACATCTTCAATACCACAGAGAAATCTGTTTGATTTTTGCGTTCACTATTCATAGATAACACTGGTAGAAGTGTCACTAAAGTAAGAGTCAAATCCTCAAAATCAAGTATAGGGGGCCTCTTTCTGACAGTAAAGAGATATTCGATAGGTTATGGAGACTGCACGTGACTAGAAAGGCAATATCAAGATCCTCTTTATATAAATCCCATATTATAGGAACAAGCCTTGGTAAAGCTGCCTAAATTCTTAACAAAAGCTCAGAAGAAGAATTTAGAAATGACCTGTAATGACATCACCATCTTGCGGTAAATGTGAAGGAAAATTTGTACTATATTTCCAGGCAGCTTGACAACAACACTTGAATGCATTTGCAAAATTTGGCCGGTGCATGTCACGAACATTCTCAAGAATTGGAAAAATTCGTGAGAGTACACCTTTCCAGTGGGGAATGAACAACAAGGGACTACTAGAAGCAAATTTTGCACGGATTTGAACCATAGCCTGTAATGATGAACTTGTTACTGATAAATGAAAAATTTCTTCCATCACAAAATCAGGTAGGTACGACCCTATCGCGACAAGTAGGCTTGTTGTTGCTCAATTCCAATCGGAATTGAGTTCCTTAGGAGATATCATCTCAGAAGTAGCAATTTTAGCAAGCTTCCCCATAAAAACCGAGTCAAAATCTCTTTCATCAAGAGCTCGAACTCCAAATGCCATATTTCCAAATCCTTAACATCCACCACAACATCCACCACAACATCCACCACGTGAAACAGTCGCATAACACTCCAGAACCAAAACAGGATCTCACAGCATAACAGTTCAAAAAAATCAAGCACAAACACTAACAAACTATTTTCAGAAATTCAACCCAGAACTTTTCAATAGAATAACAGTTACATATTCACATCAAAACAAAATAACAAAACAAGCAGCAATCCGATAATTAATCAGAACATAACAATACATTTTAAATAATCAAGAGGAATCAAAGAATTACCAAACAACGTCGAAAACGGAAATTGATTTGAGGAAGATTGAAAGAAAATTGTGTGTTGAGCAGAAGTGTAGATTTCTTGCTGATGCTGTGTCGCAAAATCTAGACGGAGGAAGTACCGAGATGGGCGATGGAAAGTGTTCTGATTTGCGGAGAAAGGCGGATAACGGTGAGTTGCTGAAGTTGTTGAAAGATGTGAGTTTAATGAAGAGGTTACTGAAGGGGGGTGATTTGGGACGGTGATAAAAAGGTGGTGGAGTTGTTGTGTGGTGAAGAGAAGAGGAAGTAGCAGTTCGCGGAGGAGATAAATAGGGCGCTATTTGTGTGAAGATGAAGGGGTGTCTTACTGAGGGCGAGATGAAGCGGGATGTGATAATTGGTGAGAAATTGAAGGTGGGTTAATCAGTGGTGAATTGATAGAGGCCAGGTTGTTTGAAGAAAAGGAAACGGGAGGGAGCATCACGTGTGGAAAGAGGGAGAGGGGTAAAAGAGTTACTGTGTTGTTGTTTTTTTTTATTAGGAAGAGAAGGATAGAAAGTTAAAGAGAGAAAGATTACTGCATATGCTTTTTGTCTTGGTGTTTTCACAAAGAGTGAAATAGGCTTTAAATAGGAAAATGAAAAGGAAAAAAATGATATCAAATTAATCATGTTCGTTCAAAATTTAATCTGTATGTATTAATCGACAAATTATGCTATCAACCAATAGAAATAGAGCAAGGTGTATTTAATATTTTTTTATGACCAAAACGCTCTTAAATGATAAAAATGAAATAAAAAACTGAAAGTATTAAAATTAATTCAATTTAAAAGATTTTTTGAATTTTTTTTGAATAAAAAATAAAGACCTAAAAGGACCGAAAACGATAAAAAAAAACGGACGAAAATTCATCTGAAAAAATAAAATGAATACATTAAAATGCCCTACATTTCACAAAGATTAAAAAAAAATATTCAAAAAGTCAAAATCAAAATAAAATGATAATAAAATTATCAGGCTAAACAGACGTTTACGATTAAAAACGAGACTTCGAGCTGTACATAAAAAATAAAGCGAGCATACCATCATAATCTACACGAGACGCAGATTCATAAAATGACCGGTAAAAGGTGAAAACTTGAAATATTTTTTCCGCTAATTTTACGCACAGTACCAAATTGCTTTTAACAGTCTGTCTATAAAATCGAAATATTTTTATTATCAACATATAAACAACTTGGAGCAATGCAAGAAATGAGTAAACAGATAAAAATGCATGAAGTGAAATGTCGGGTATTTTTCAACTACAAAATGATGCAAATGTCGATTTAAACTGACTTTTGGTCAACTTAAACACGATTAAATGATGCAAATGTGATGAACGAAGCTATTTATTAATGATTTTGATCAAATGACAAAACATGATATGAAAGTGCGACTGAAAAAATTAGGGGCGAAATTTAGGGTACAACACCGACATATCTTCATATGACCATGCGAAGATCTCGACATAATCATGCAACATTTGTATCAACCGTTACTTGACTTTAAGCCCCAGATTTGCACCGATATTGACGTCTTTTCTGTCTACCTCTGTGCCCAAGTTTATTGTCTCAACTGGCTCTTCATGAGGCTGTATAGCCCTCTCTTCCTGCTGTAACAGCCTAGCAAGTTCTCAAGGTACCTCACAATCTTCCTCACCTTCGTCCTCGACTTGGTTGATCAGATTTTCAAAGTCATAACTGACAGTAGTAGAACTGTTATCAATGGGATCCAGAGTGGACATGGATCTGCAGTTGGATACATGAGTGTGTGTAAGAGCATAACTGTATAGACAAAGTAAAAGTAGAAAAGAAAAACTGAGAGTGCAAACTTTATATGCATAAACGTCCAATTCTTTATTGATGCCATATGAAAGTGAAACATGATAACCCTCACAAATAAACCGATGTGCCCCGGGTAAGACACATGGCCATAAAGTTATTTTTTTATTACATATCCAAAAAAACAAGAAAGACAATTACTTATGAACAAAAGTAATCGTTAAAAAATATTTTTCCGTCCAGTTATTGGGTCCACCGTTGGTAGTAGGGAAGATCTAGTTGTCCATGTCATTGTCACCGTCACCGTCTTATAAAGCATTGACCCCATGATTGTTGATGCGTAGGGGAGGTCTTCTAGAACGAGCACGTCGAACAACCCTTTGAGCCCCTGAAGAGAAACCCAAACCAAACTTATCAGACTTGTATGGAATATCAGGGAGCTGACCCCAGATGGTAGACCCACCTTCTTCGACAACGACTTTTGCATCCTTGAGAGAAGCCATCTTCAAGGGAGGTCTGGTGATCTTCGGCATATTGGTAACAATTTCAGTTGTAGCCAGAGTCTGAGGTACTTCTTCGAAATTTTGGCACGGGGTCTCGATGAACTCACCATCCATTTCCACATATCTGAAGGAATTCAAGTGACTGACCATGTATTATTCTTCGCCGTGTACAGTGATAATTCTCCCTTTGACCGGGTATTTCATCATCTGATGCATAGTGGACGTAACGGCTCCAGCCCCATGTATCCAAGGGCGGCCCAACAAACAGGAATAAGATGGTCTGATATCCATCACATAGAAGGTAGAGTCGAAAGTTTGAGAACCAACCTTTATAGGGACGTCCACCTCCCCGTGCACCATTCTCTTTGAGCTGTCAAAAGCCCTCACTACAACATTGCGGGGCTTCAAGATCAAACCTTCACAGTCTAGTCTATCCAGAGCGTTTTTAGGAAGTACATTTAATGATGAACCAGTATCTACTAGGACATGGTCCAAAGTAGTGCCCTTGCATTCGACAGAGACATGCAACGCATCATTGTGCTTCCTCCCTCTAGGAGTCAAATCAGCATCAGAAAAGCCCAAACCATTATCAGCCGTCAAACTAGCCACTCAATCTTTGAATTGGTCAGCAGAGGTTTCCTGGGGCACATGGGCAGTTTTCAGGAACTTTACCAGAGCCTTCGCATGAGCTTCAGAACACAACAATAAGGCTAGCATAGAAATATTTGAAGGGGTCTTCCCCAGCTGTTCGACCATGTTGTAGTCGCTTTTCTTGATAATTTTCAAAATCTCTTCCATTTCTTTCTTGGAAGCCTCTGGGATAGTTACCGAATGCGCCTTCGTCTGGACATGTTCAACCAATATGTCTTTGCCCTGAGTCTCGGTCGACTCAGTGATAGGGGTATCAGTAGGGGTAATCACAGGGATTGTAGTAGTAGTATCAACAAGAATGAAAGTAGGAATGATTACAGGACCAGTAAAAACTTTCGAAGGAGAAATCTCAGGGGAGAACACTCTTCCACTTCATGTTATTTTCTGGTTCCAACAATGTTGAAAATTTCAGGATCAACATTCTCAAAAACCTGGTCTTCAACAGCTAGCCAATCTTGCTTGACACCGTGGTAGTAGACGTCATCCCCATAGTTCCAAGGAACAGTTTTATCTGAGGAGTATGGGATTGGCCCTGACATAGTAATTATCAGCGAAGTAGCCTTTGGAACAGATGTAATCATGACTGGTCTTTTGGTGGAGACCCTGGGAGGATTGGCGGAAATGGTTATTATCGAAACATCTTTGTAAGAAATGGTTGGGACGAGATTCTTCTCAAATAAAACCTCTCTATCATCCATCAGGCGCTGAACATCTTCCTTTAACAAATGGAAACCAGTCGGTAGAGATAAACAGAAGTGGCAACCTTTGCCACAACCCGGAAATAAACTGGCCTTTAATAAATTTAACTTAACGGTCATAAAAGGAGTAACAAGCTCTTCAATAGTAGTAATAAACATATCATCTTCAATAGCGTTAACACCACGGTCGTGCTTGGGCATAAGAGCAGTGATAACATTTGGAATTTCAGGGACGTCAAACTCAATTTCCTTCACCTTGATAAGGTCCTGTACCCTATTTTTCAAAGCCCGGTAGTCATTTGTATCATGACCTGGACTTTCTGAATGATAAGCACAGTGGGAATTTGGATTGTAGCGGGGAGAGGTAGTGTTGGGATTCGTTGGCGCTTCCCGCAAGGTAACCAAATTAGATTTCAAAAAATGAGGCAAAACTTGGGATAAAGTCATATTTATCCGGGTGAACTGTCTTATCAGCCTTTCTGTTCTCTGCTGATTATTCCTCTGTTGAGTGGGTGCAGGCTTAGGGATCATGATAGCCCCTACTGTTTGATAGCGTTCAGTTCTGTCCTGACTCCTTTGATTATACACATCACTAACATCTTTCTTCCCAGCAAATGGCTTCTTTACTGTACTGGAGGATGAACTCTTCTGGATCTTACCACTTTTAATTCCAACTTCCACTCTTTCCACTGTCAAGATTAATTCAGTAAAGCCAGCCGAGGAACTTCTGATTAGGTGATTAAAGAATGGACCAGACAGGGTACCCATAAACATATCCACTAGCTCCCTATGAGACAGGGGAGGCTGGACTCTTCCTGCTAAGTCCCTCCACTTCTGAGCGTAGTCTTTGAAGCCCTCGCTCGAACCCATAGCCATACTTTGGAGTTGAGTACAAGTGGGAGAAAGATACGCATTATACTGATACTACTTATAGAAATCAGCGGCCAGGTCTTCCCAATTATGGATGTTGGTCCTCTCCAGCTGATAGAACCAATCTAACTGAGTTCCGGATAGACTATCCTGAAATAAGTGGACCCATAAGTCTCTTTCAGCAGTGTGAGGCTGTATCTTCCTCACATAAGATCGAAGGTGAATTTTAGGACATGAAACCCTGTCGTACTTGGAAAACACTGGTGCCTTGAACTTTGGCGGAATGATAATCCCAAACACCAAACCCAGCTTTTCAAAGTCCATCCCAGGCACTTTTTGAATCTCCATTGCACTCAGACGCTCTTCCAGTTGTTTGTACTTTTCGTCGGCCGGAGGATACTACTCTTCATTGTAATCAGTCTCATTGTTAGATTCCTGCGGACTAGGGTCATCCTCTCTTGTCTCACCCTCTTGGTTACCTCTTTATTTGGATGAAGATGTCAGGTCAACCACTTGCTTTAACGGTCCCTTGAATCTCCTTCCCAGATTTATCACACCAGCTGTCCTCCTTGGCTTCTTAGTCTTGTCTTTAAAAATCAAGGCTTTCAATTCCTCCTGCCCTTTGGCAAGAGCCATGATCATCTATTGGAATTGTGCATTTTGAGTATGTAAGTCCTTCATAGTTTGTTCGAGAGCCATTTCTCTACGGCTGAAATAAACAGCGAAGAAGATGAGAAACCTGCTATGAAACCTGTTTATGCAATGATATGTATGACATGTGTATGCAATGATTTCAAGGATTTCAGGAAATTTAAATTTGCGAACCAAAATGAAACAAATATTTTATTAGTAGAATTCAAAATACAATTTCCTTTTAGGCGTTTCAATTGAAAGTTAACAAAACTAAAGAAAGTCAGGTTTCCCATGGGCGCTTCC